CTTGAGCTAACTATTCATGATTTCCAGTACAATCGACTGGCGCCGCTCATATTGGTCGCTCGGACGCGCCATCATTCGGTAGCCACAAACGATTGAGAAAAGGTTGCAGCGGCTGAACCGATTGATCGGGCATCAGAGTAGTTTGAGAACTTGAGCAACTTCGTGGGAAGCCTTCGTGACGGAATTGAGCTCATCGCAGTGGCACAAGCAACACCGCTCTGTAATTGTGAATTTCAGCTTTCTCTGGAATTCTGGACCTATAATGTGAGGAATCAAGATGCATCCAGACTAATTGAATTCTTCTGTGTGAAGGAGTCCTTCTTTTTCTCAACTTTACACCACAACTCATAGTGTGAAGTTTGGCCTTTCCCAGGAGAAAAATAGTTTGATAAACCACGGACAGTTTCATCGATAATAGGATTACCTTGTTGAGGTCTCTTTCGTATATCAAAAGTAAGAAAAATCCCCACGAGCTTCACCAGATAAGTGCAATTTAATCGAGCCGAGCATTGACTTCGATCCCAGGTGGTCGAGGGTGCTGCTATCGGCAGCTTCTTCCCATTAGCCAGAATTGGAAACGCGAAGTTGGCAGAAAAAAAATCGAAATTTTCGTCGAAATCAGAATATCAAAGTTTCTGTTCCAGTAAGACTAACACAATGAAATCTCCCTAACATTCATTTATCAAAGACAATTCAGGTCAAAATATTCTATGTGGTACCGTTCAAGAATTACCACATTGGATGCTATCACACCGGGATTTGTTGCCAGTCCTTTCCGTGTAGGATATCAGCGGCCAGGTGGGATTGTGGTTTGGTATACCGACAGTTTATTTAGCTCTTCAAGATTCCTATTCCAAAGAAACACAGATCAAAGAACTATAATACGTAGGCTCAATAGGACTTCCATCTCACTGTTGTGTCGTCCTAAGATAAGCGAAGTTGCTTTCTCTTAGGAGCCTTGTGCTAACTAATCAAAAATTCTCCTTTTTTTACGCCATCATGTTAGGATCCTAAGCTTGTTATCGATTGGATGCACTCATATCGATCGCCACGATGCGCAATTACTCGGTCCCGCGCAAGGATGACGGACTGTTTGCAGCGATTGCACCAGTTGCTTAAGTATCAGAGTTACTTGGTATCACTAGGACTCGAGCAGCTTACTGGAAAGCTTTCAAACAGTGTTCTAGGAACTGAGTCCTTCGATGGGGCACAAAGCTGGCAAC